TCGTAAACCGTGCTAGTTTTTGAACTTTCCAGAAATACGCCAAAATATCGCCTTTGTATGTTTTTGTGGTGCGTCTAGGTGCCCTGCGACACATACGTGTTCAGTGGTTCGATCCCTCGCCCAAAGCTCATCAGTATCCCTCCGTGGTAGATAAATTGGCATCAGACATGTCTGGGAGTATAGTTGCACTGACTTGATGCATTAGTAGGCCACCGAGAGCCATTGTTTATGTCGCTGCGAAACCAATTGCGGTCTTAAGCCGTAAATTTTGAATTGTCTTAACTAAGCTCAACACATTTTCATTAATGAAAATAGTGAGCCATCACAATCAACAAATATTTATTAACGGGAAATATATTTGTTTATTCCTGTACTATTGATCGGTGTTTCGAGATTTCACGAGCCTTTGGAAAGCATTTTCTGTCTCCTGTTTGTTAAGAAAGTGTTTTTCCTGCAAGAAGTTATCGGGATGCTTGAAGAAATAAGTGGTAGCTGGTAGGCGCGAGATCCCGTGAGTACGGATGAGTTTTAAACTTCGCAGCCTTCACTCGTTCCTTTTGAAGCATTCGTGCTGCAACGTGCGGTCATGCGTTGTTATGAAGAAGAATTGATGTGTTTGTATTAACCAGTGCCGATTGCAGACGTAGCAGTTCTCGGTGCATCTCATCGATTTGCTAGCATACTTCTTTGCGTAAGACCGGTAACATGCCCTTGTACAGCCGGACAGAACTCTTTCTTCTGACTATTAGCATGGGTTTCACTGATTCCAACGCTGCACTTATTTTTTGTGAAAGACCGTTTTGTCACAGTGTAGCACTTAAAATAAGACCGAGCTTCACATACGAGAGTGGGTGGAGCGATCGATCGATATGGGTCAGACATATGGGCCTAACTTGTTTTTGAATTGATAATTTTTCTCTATTTTGAAGAAAACTTCATATCAAAATAATCGATTCAGATAGTACGGGACTTTTTTTACACATTCATATGCTTATGTTCTTCCAGCGAATTATACGCGTGGGAAAAATGAAGGCGAGCCTGAGGTGTAAAACATAATTTAATTTTGAGTTTCAAAGCGTTATAAAGTGGTGTATTGAAAGAGCTGCTACGTGAAGCTGTAACCAGAGATTTAAGCTTTCAAATAATTACTATCATTCTTATGAAAAAGTTTTGTCCAGCGAAAAAAATCATCATTTCACTTGTGGCCACCTAACATATAAGTACACTTTTCTCACCCCAAACAAGTTTGGACCCTATTTTTCAAATAAGATCTGTGAGGGTTTTGATGAACCCCACGGCGAACTGGATGACCAGTGGCGAGGTGTGTATTGCATGATTATCTTTCTCTAAGCACTGCGTTCTACTCGTCTCATTTTGGGTGTGGTTTGGAAATTCAGGCCTCATATTTCTACTGGTACACACGAAAGTTGAGAACTTGCAGTTTTTTTTTCGAAGTTCACGGATACGTTGCGCACGACATAGGTAAATATCGCTCAATCTATTCATTGTTCGCCGTCTAAAACCTCCTTTCTTGAGTCATTCCAGACACGATTGAAAAAACACTGAACGAATGATAGCCATGCGAATAGGCGGTGTTTCGAGAGGAATTCAGTGTCATTGACCACGTCCGCAGCATCACAAGACTCATTGAAGTTTTAAAGGAGTTTAAAAGACACTTTTGTCTCACTATCATCGATTTATGGAAACCTTTGACTCAATGGAGACAGAGACAGTCATAGTCGATCTGGATAGCCAGGGCGTCCCTACTCAATGCACAGCAATACTTCGTGAGCTATATAAAAGCTTAAAAGCCAAAATGTCGTCGTTTTTCAATGATTTCTCTACCGAGATAAGAAGAGGGGTTCGACAAGACGATACGATTGCGCCGAATCATCCATTGCCAACCTTTGAAACGTTATACCAATTCTAAAATGAGACAATATGAGAGTGTGATTCGATGGTCGACAATTACATCATCCTCTCTTCTCTGGTGATATCGTCCTCAGTAACCGTGGATCAACTACGGAAGTGAATGTTGACCGATTCCGACCACGCCTGTGAAGCGATTGTTCTCCGATTGAATCTAAGCTAACGATGTTTATGTGGAGTAGATTGGTTTCGAATGCCCCATTCATACTGAACGAAGTGATTATCTCCGAGTGTTCCAATCGCGTCCATGTAGGTCTAGAAGTCAACATGATGAACAAGCTTGCTCCACATTTGAGCAGGAGAAACCGAGTAATTTGTGAAGCGTTCAAGAGCATCGAGGGTGTAGTGAAGATGTCGAAGAACGTTTGACTCCACTTCTTGCTATTCGATCCAGCAGCTATCCCTGCCTTTGAGTATGCATGAGAAATGTGGTTACTACGTAAGTAAGGTGAAAAACCGTTTGATGTTATCAAACGCGCAAGCGAAAAGTCGACGCAGGAGTATCCGGTATCTCGCAGATGAGGAAAAGGACCTAAAGTTCCGACCTGCGTCAACGATCAAACGGCAGAGATGTCACTTTACGTACCAGGCTATCGAAGATAAGGTGAGCCGGACAGGTAGTGCGCTTTAACGACGGCCTATGAACGAGAGCTGTGTTCTTTCCGGCTACGAGAGACAAATAAAATTTTGAGCTCATTCGTTGGACAAGACATTTTGTACAGAAATGTTAGTAACCATTTGAAAGCTTCAGTCTTTGGGTAGAGCTGTACGTGACCGGTTTTCGAAAAGACCCTTATAATGCTATAAAGTCCAAAATAAAATTGTGTCTCACACGCGCATATTTCTTTTTGGACTGCCTGTAATTATTCGATAGTGTAATGCTTCCTGAATCTAACGCTAAGCTTATATCTTGGATAGATCGTTTCTTTGCAACGCAGCATAGAAAATCGGATTGATTCATACGCGCGAGCAAGGTGATCTTGGCAAGTTCACGGGCTGCTTGATGAGGCGATATGTGGGTTGAGGTGATGATCGATCAATTTTCGACCAGTATTATGAAAGTGCGATCTCTTTTATTTGATTAGGAATTGTATCTCCGTTTTGGAAAAAAAAAACTCCAGATAGAACATATGACTCTGCTTTTGCCATGAATACGGACAAATCAATCATCGTTATCATCATTTCGAGATGGAATTCACGAGGCTAGAACGTGTTAACTGCTTTCAAGGGTGACTGGTGAACATTAAGATACTACGAGGTTTTCCCTACACGTTCATATACTCGAACATCAATCAATCGTCTCGCCAGGCGACCTTGCTGCCTCACCCAACGGTCCGTGACTTAGCCAAACTCAATGCATGTGAATCAGTCTATTTTTCCCTCCTGCGTTGCAGAGAAATGGTTTTTTGAAGATATAAGTACAACGTTGAAATCAGGAAGCAATACCCTATCGAATAGTTACTAATAGTCCAAGAAAAGAGCTCCTGGCGAGAAAGATGCGCGTGCGAAGATTAAGAGATTTCCTTTTGTAACAACATTAAAAAGGGTTTTTCGAAAACCGGCCATTTAGGGCTGTAGCTCGTGTTTTAGGCTTTTGAATGATTATTAACACTTTAATGAATAATTCCTGATCAACGAATAAGGTCGGATAATTATTTGTTTTCTTATAACCGATAAGAAATGAGAGGCGTTATCGACTGAATTCTTTATGATGTCAAACACCACGCAGGAAGACATCGACTCGATAGTGCGATCTTTTTTATGGAAGACCTAAAAGATATACATAATGTCCAGTGAATTCTCGAAGTAAACAGGACCCACTGAGCTACTACTGAGCGCTAAAAGAAATAATGGAAATGTATCTCATTATTATTATTCGAACCAATCTGTCACATGGTTTGCCTAGAGTAGGCGATAACGAACGATTTATACATGCCGTCGATTGAATTAAATCACTAGATCGGCAGTGTTGTACACTCGATTGCTTGTGACTGGTGTTTTTGAAATATTATAACGTTTCTTTCGAGTTCTTTCCCGAGAACACGCTCTGTTTTGGTGGTTCAGCTTATGTTGTAATTTGCCAAGTGAACGTTGTTTCCTCAAGCTTGTGTAATTGAACCTTCATATAAATAACAACATTATTGAATCGACGTTAAATAACAAAGCAGTTATAAATGGAGTTGGAAGTCAAGGAAACTATAATACAGCAAACACAGATCTCATAAAGACACCAAGAAGTGCGCTAGGATGAGCAGAGACTACTCGAAATGAGCTTAGAATGTGCTCGGATTGAGTAGTGATAAAGGTAGAGCTCACTTAGTTTACACGGATGATGCCCGAGCCCCGACCTATCGACTGACGGCGGTGATATGTAATTAATATGTCCTTACATCCTACCAGAGTCGAAGTGAACACTTAAGTAATTAGAGGAATTAATCAACAGAGGAGAGTTGTGTAAAACGTTCGATCAGGAAGTAATAGGTAAAGGCCCGCTGACAATGTGCTTGTGAGCAAACGTGTTTCCATGGTCCTCAATAAGTGACCTAATAAATAAGGAATTGAATAAAGAAGAAGCAGTGCATTGAATGGTCTGCTCCTCAGTAAGGATCAATGAACATAGTGATCGAGGAGACACTGATAAGGATCGTTCCAATTGCTAGGTGAATACAGTTAAATTACATTATAAACTAAGGTAAACCGATAAACAACGACGATGACGGCGGTGAACATGGTGTGACGAGGGACGATGGAAGGACCTCTCTCTTTCAACGCGCAAAGCTCGAATAACGGTCGACCAGTGGTCACCTGTGTCGACTGGGGTTCTTTTCCTGCCATATCGATCATTGGACGTGGGTTGACTGTGTGGACGTGTCTTTCCGTTTTCACTGGCACTTTGATTAGCCGTCGAAATTATTGGATAATTGTCGACTGCGTCGACGTGGTATCCCGTTTTCCGCCGACACAAAGTTTGAAGGTCGTCTTTGTCGACACGCTCAGATTTCAATATACTCATAATTTAATATAATTTAGAATAACGCGTTGTAGCGTAGAAAGAATGGTGTGCAAAACGGGTGTCGGTAGTGCAGCGTTTTAGCACGTGCCACCGAAATAAGTGAGATCTGGGGTTCGAATCCCAGTTGACGCAAACGTTTTTCCACACCACTCTAAATTATTGGATATATTGTAATATCACACCATCGCAAGTGGCGGTCAAATAAAAGTATTTCTGATTGATTATTGATACCCAATATCTGTGAACATAAGTGAGGTTCAGTGTCGATGACGATCAGCCACGCCAGACCCATGACGGTTGACTGTGGACAGATAACGCGTTGAAGGTAGAAAGAGTGGTGTGCGAAACAGGTGTCGGTAGTGCAGCGGTTTAGCACGTGCTCCCGAAAAGAGTGAGATCTGGGTTTGAATCCCAGCTGACGTAGACATTTTTATACACCACTCTACATTATTGGGTTTATTGTAACAACATGTCATCGCAAGTGGCGGTCAAATAAAATGATTTGTGATTGATCATCTCATTAGTTGTTATTTGAGCTAGCATGTCATGTGGTCTGTTATGAACTCTTGTACGGCTCGATACACGTGTTTCGGCCTTGACAGCCTCGTCAGCTGGGCAGGCCCTTCATCTTTAGCCAATTCTCTTGCGGTGCTCCAGTCTCCCTACTTGAAGCACGCTACGACAAACGATTTACACATGACGTCAAGTGAAATAAGTCACTGATTAGGCAGGGTTGTACCCTCGATTTCTTGTGGCTGGTATTTTTGAAATATACCGTTTGTTTCGAGTATTGCCCTAAGACCACGCTCAAATTTCAACATATCTGACAAATATTATTTGAGCAGTATGTCATGTAGTCTGTTATAGGCTCAAATAGTGAATTTGAGATATATTGAAATTTGAGTGTGGTTTTGAGAAAACAGTCCAAACAAACGGTATAGTATTTCGACAATAGCAGCCACCAGCAGTCGAGTGTACAACACTTCCGATCTGGTAATTGTTTTACGTGACGGCACGTATAAATCGTTTGTCGTCGCCTACTCTGAGTAAGGTGAGTGGAGCACCGAGAGGATTGGTTGAAGACGAAAGGCCTGCCCGACTGACAAGGCTGTCAAGGCCGAAACACGTGTGACGGGTTGTACAAGAGCCCATGACAGCCACATGGCATGCTGGCTCAAATAATAATTAGCGACAGTTGATACAGATGATGGCTTTTCTCGACCAAAAATTGGTATCATTTCCCTGGTGGTTAAGTCATTTCTTGAGTATAAATGGTATGAGAAAACGCTCTGTACAACAATATAAATATCGAGAAGGGAGGCGAGACGTATATGACTTAGTTCACAATCGTCTTTTATCTGATCATTTTCACAGCTTTTTATTTTATGATATTTAGGAGAAACTCTATGAGTGGAGCGCAAATATTATGGCAAAGCGAGTGACGTATTGGAATCCGATTGGAGAGGGCATGAACAGGTGAATGATTTTTTACAGCCGTACGCCATACAATTGACAATCAGTCACTCTGAAAAAGCGCAACATTGAGGAATCATTATATAGATGCCGAGTGATACATCGTTGATATCGATTCCCTATAATAGTAGAGGTGAGCCGAATAGCATGTGCTTCTGATGTGATTTCGAGAATGCCGGAACATATTTCTCTCACTAGCGGTACTATACCACGCCTCATAGAGGCTGAAAACATTCTGCCACATTGTGTCAAGAATGTATTTCCATTTATGCGAGATTAAAATAATGGATAATGTATACTTTGCACATCAAAATTGTAGTCTGTAATATTGTGTAAGATCGAGAGTGGTATCAAAGTACGCCCTCAACCCTGCCGTTTATTTTGAAATCCTGGAAATCTTCCGTAGTGCCTCGAACGTTTTACGTGCTAACCTCTAGGGTTCTATAAGAATTTGGTGGCTCCTTTTTCAAAGTATAGTCGCTTTTACTTCGAAATTTGAAGTCTCCTACGAGCCTAGTGCCATATTTTATTTATACTCTTATCGTCTGAGTGTTCTTTTGTTCCTACAGAGTGATCTATTCGTTCTCTTAATATATTGTTCGCTGCTTGTTTTACAGAAGTCAGATACACTATACTTGAAGATATGCAATCACCATCATTACCGTTAGAGCAAATTTTTCAGTTTTGCGTTGTGCGTAGACGGTTATACAAATTGTAACATCAGTGTGCACAACCTCTAAGTTTTTATAGATAGATTTGAACAAACCATAATTGAAGACCGAATTACCAGACTGTTGCACGCGATGTGGTCCGATCTCAGATATCTTATAAGTTTTAGAAAGTTCAACAGTGGATGTTTTTTATAAAATGGCTCTTTGCCTAGTGCTTGATTCAGGTGTCAAATGAAAACGAAAAGGAATTAGTCCAATAATCAAATGTGGTTGTGGGATGCGTCTTTTGAAGAGAGCGGAAATGTTGAGACCATCGTATCTGAAGTATAACAGATACCAACCATTGCGCTAGCTTGCGTAACGGCAGCACATAATATTCTTGTCATACAGAGTGTTACGAATTAGCTGTCTTCTTATAGAATTCGCTCAGTTAATGACTTTTGTTAGCCTTTTTCTCTTGTGGCAAAGTTTTGCAGTTGTGCTTAAATTGCTAGAATTGAATTGCAGGAAAAAAAGATCTTCTTTTTGCCACATGTATCATTTTAGGACGTGAGAGAGCAGCAAAAAGAGCCCTGAAATTGAATTGGCAGAGAGCTATCTCCAGTGGTTGCTTTGAGGGAAGCTCGCCGAAATGATGCTCTTTTAGGACGGTTTCACATAATTAGTAAGGTTTTCAAGCAATAGAGGTACTGCGGAAAACCCTAAGAGATCAGCTATGCATAACCACTTGTGCTATCATCTGTTCTCGGCTCAAAATTGAGCATCATGTCATATTGGTAAAGATTGAAATTCTACAAGTTTGTGTGCTGTGTATTTGATCGCTTCTATAGCGTGCAGGGAACGATACATTGACAAGACGGCTAGACGGATCTAGTTCAGTATGAAGTGAGATTTAGTCGATAAAATTGAAATTGAACCAATTCATTTGATAGGTGTGCATAAGAGGGGAAAATTTTAAAGCAGAACGAAATTCAGCCACAAGGAGACGAGTCGCTTGTTCAAACTCGTGGTCTGACACAATGTCTGAGAGTGCTAATTTAACGGCAGATCAGCTTCCCATGCGATTTTTGTACGGTTATCAAACATGAAAGAATCAGTGAAAGGCTGATAGAAAACAATAAGAAACAGTGAGGTTTGAAGAAACAGGTTTGCTCCCAATGCAGTGTGAGAGGACGAAGTCTTAAGAAACGTCTATTTGATGAATATATACTATAGTGGAAACATCGTGTTTGCTTATCAGAGGAACCGAATCACAAAATAGACTGCTCTATAACACGAACTGTCCTTTTTTAAAGATGTTTGCGCCGATTTAAAAAAGCTAATGTTTTGTTAATCTTACCTTCTTTAGAACCGCTAAAGTGTATGGGGAAGGTAACGGGTGTGATGTTACCTACTATAAATAGTCGCAATAATAGCAATGTTAACAATAATAACATGTTACACTCATTCATAGTGTGTGACAACTCTTCGATGGCCTCCCTTCTATTAGTAATTTAGCGACTTTGAGTAAGATAAGTTCGCAAAAACATTAGCCATCGTTTTTTGAGAAGACACCACTATGGCTCATGTTTCATAAAAAAATGACAGTTCGTGTTATGGTTTGGTTTTTGTTGCCAAGATATAGTGAGATTAGACAACTGATTTGATACAACTTTCTACAGATTAGTATCCGAAATATCCATAAGCTTCAATTTCTTTTCAAAATTGAATTCAAAGTTTTTAATCTTACACTATATTGACTCGAAATAAGGTCACGTAGTCAGGTATGGCACAGTGTTTTTTGAAAAATCTTCTCATCTAGATTTTGATTAATCTTCAATTTTTTTTTGTTTGGGAAAGCATTTGCTTATCTTTTTAGTGCACTTTTTTCAGATTAAAAGTAATTACTGATATTCCAGTAATTTTCATCATGCTTTCACGCGATCCTTATTCGTCTGAACTCCAGTGCATGAGGTTTGGAAATATTCTTGATATGTGGGACCTTTTGCTGTGTTAGTAATCGACATTTGGTGACTAAACCATAACTTGTACGATCACGGTCGGAACCATGATTAAATATGTTTCTGAGAACGCACTAGCTTCAATCTTTTCGATGCACATAATTCTCGTATTGCTAGTGTGCGGCAAATTTTACTTTCTAATCATACAACGGGCTTTCCACTTTTCACCTCGTTTGATTATTATAATTTCAGCATGCAGTTATCATTAAATAAGAAAGTCGAGCTGCCGATGTCCAAAATACCGTTGGCGAAAAGTGGAGAAAACAAAAGCAAGCAGTCAATCTCAAATGAGTGTTCGCAGCCAAGCAGAAATACTGAAGAAGCTGAAGCAGCTGAGCGTTCCTAAGTGCTTGGGTAGCTAGATTGGTTGTCATGGTTGTTGTGTCGCATGTCGTTTTAATTTCAATGATTAAAGTAGAGTAAAGGATTATGTTCTTGACGTCAATCAATTTCTAAAGATGCGCTATGCATTCGTTTTCGATCTATAGCTTTGTGTATGTGACTGGAAGCGTATCTGACCTCTACAATGACTTGCGGTGGCCTACCCTATGCATCAAGTCAGTGCTGGTTATCCTCCCGCACAGGTCTGGCTTTGGTGCTGCGCCTCACTGATAGTGTCACGGGGTCGGTTATACAATAGTGTCGCTACGGTATTGTCTCAAGCTGTTTGATATTTGTTCCAAGACATTATCGTTTTGGGCGTTGACAAAGTTGTGTTAGAGGAATGCACGACGAAGATTGACAGTTATTCACTCTTTTCCTGTTAGCAGCCACGATTTTGCTACCACATAATTGCTGCCGTTTTTGTGAATTTGCATTATTCAAACTCAGAAAGGTCAATACTGAGAATCAAGCTACTCAGCTAAGCACTTTGTTGACTATAACATAAAAATTTAGTGCATGGATCTTAATTCACATAACAAACAGCTTCTTTCGAACCATCACCTTCCTGTTCTTTGGAAGTTCGCGTAATACGACATAAGAAACGGCGTCTAGTTCTTCAACACGCTCAGTTTACATGGAAAACTATTCCTATGTTTGGCCTTTCCATGCATAATTTGATGATCATCGAAAAGTGAAAAGTACCGAAGGGAAATGAGTTTGAATCGATTCATATCAACCATCGTATAGCAGCCGTTTGAGTTAATATCGCTTGACGTCAGCCTAGCTGTGTCAAGCATAAGGCTAAAGTTAAGTTCTCGGCATTGATCAATCCTTTTAGGATGCGCCGTGCATTTGTCACCAGTTTTGAACTTCGTTTGAGGTGATTGAATGCTGG